CAGGAAGGCTCGGAAGTGAAGTGACTTTCCCAGAGTCACACAGCACATTAAGTGGAGTCAAATGGAGGTTTAGCTTCCAGTTCTGAAGTCACCCTCTTACTCAGCTGGCTTGTGTGTAAAATAGCCGTGATGCTGCTGCTGACCTCCCTGGGGGCCGGGGAAGAGGATTTAAGGAGCTGATTTGAACATCCTCTCTTAGTACAGATTTAAGTGCGACATATGTTAGCTTCATCACAAAAACCTTCCGGAATGCCATTGTTTCAGCCCAGCCCTGGAGAACATGTGGGCTCATTCCATTTCCTTGATTGTTTTCCTTGAGCCTCTGTGTTGTCACCTGTTAAATAGGGTACTAAACCCCTACTTCTGAAGACCATTTGGACCAGCATATAATTGGTACTTGGTAAATGCTAGAGATTGCTGATTATTTCCTCATCTGCACCTCCTCCACTCTAGCCAGGATGGCCTTTTCAGCGTCCCTGAAATGTACCCTGAGTAATCCTGCTCCACAGCTTTGCACAAGCTCTTGTCCCCTTTCCTTCTGCCTCTTTGAATCCTCTCCCTTCTGGTCTCACTGTGCTTCCAACTGCTCCAGCCTCTACTGTGCTCTTGAGTTGTGCTTCTCCTTTCTCCAGGTCTGCCTCTGCCCTCGAACTCTAATAGAATGGGCAGTGGTGCCCTCCCTGTGCCCATACATAGGGGGCAAAGCCTTACTATTTGTTACTGATGCCCGTGAGCCCCACAGTAATGCTTTAGTTGTCAGATGGATGGAAATTTCAGAGGTCCTGGGGGTGGATGGGGGAGCCCTTGTGGTGGAGGTTCACTCAGGGATTGCTTGGGCAGGAGCTGGATACCAGCTGCATAGCACTGGAGGGATGCTAATGTTTTAACAGTGTGGTCATGATGGTGCAGACTGGTGAATCTCAGCATCAGACTCAGCACTATGAAGGCACCGCACTGGTCATTGGTCTGTTCCCTGGGCATTGTGGGGCCCCTTACCAGACTGGCCTCTGCTATCTAGGCCTTGGTTTTTTTTTTTTCACAGCACCCTGGTGGCCCCAGACGACTGGTACAGACAGAGCTCTCATTAATTACAAGTTGGCTCCAGTGAAATAATGATTGAGCAGTAATTCCAGACAATTAATGAGGAGGCCCAGGAGAGGGGATGTCACAAGGGTGCGGTCACTCTCAGTCACTCACACCAGGTCCTCCAGACAGTGGGCAGAGTGGTAGGGGAAAGATGATGTCTCAGCCTTCTGGGGTTCCAGCTTTGGAGGGAGAGATAAGTGTCCAGGCCACACTGACTAGTTCAAGGGTGTACAATGTGGCACCTTAGAGCCCAGGGGACTGAGGGGTAGGAAAGCCTGAGGACACAGTGATAAACCAGCTGCTGTGTACTGGCTGTTTACACCACTGCCCCACTGCCCTGCTTAATCCCCTACCTACCCTCATCAAGTCTATTCTGACTCACACGGACCCCATAGGTCAGAGGAAACAGCCCATAGGGTTTCTGACACTGTAAGAGGGGGCAGCCATTTACAGGGTTCTCCTTCTGGGTTCAAACTACCAACCTTTGAGTTAATAGTGGAATGCTTTAACCACAGGACCACTAGACATATTTTAAATTCACTGGATCACCCCTAATGGAGGATGATCTCATTATTTCCCTCTGGAGTTCAGAGAGGTTAAAGACGTGTGTAAGGACACACAAGTGAAAGCAGGATGCTTCTCCAGGCTCATCTTTCATCACTCTCTGTTCTTCATCACCACCTCGTCCTGTTCAAACAACTGAGGGGCCAGGTTCAAATCTGTCTCTGCCATCAAGTCTCTTTCTGTGCTTTGGTTTCTTATGCAGAAAATAAGAATCATGATACCTGTTTTGCAAGACTGCTGTGAACTAATTCCTAGCTGACCCTCCAGCAGATTTTTTTAGAGGCTATAAATTGCCAGGAAGAAAATGACCCAGAGCAGCTGGTGGCTTCAAATCACCTGGCTTTGGACTTGCAGTGCAGTTCCTTACTATGCAATCAGTGGCGAATGATATTATTCTAGGCAGATGCTGTAAAAGCCGGAGAGTTAAAAACCCCAGGGTTTTGGAAGGTCTGATGGGAGTGAGGAACTCTGGTTGGCTTAGTGGGTAAGGAATTGCATTGAGAAAGATGGGCAATATCTTCCCATGCAATTTACAGCCTCGGAAAACCAACTGGAGGGTCAGTTATGAGTTGGTTCTGACTCCACAGCAGTAAGGGGATTCTTTTTGAGCTGGGAGAAAAGCCAGCAGGAGCCAGTGTGTGAAGTGCCAAGTGGTTTGAACCTGAAACAGAGAAGAGCAGGCGCTATCGTGCTTTTAAACAGAGGAGTTCCTTCCGGGTGACATGCACTGGCTAAACTGGACATATGAGTGCTAGTTAGATGACCATGGGCTTTATTTGTCCCACAACAGTCCTGGGAGAAGCTCTAGTGGCAATAGTTAGAGCATGGGATTGCTAAGGAAAAGTGAGCAGAACTTGGAACCCATCAATCTCTCTGATCGAGAGAAAGGTAACGCAAAAAAATTCTACCTCCCTAACGATTTACAGGGGTCTGACTATTGAGCACACAATAGTAACAGTACCGCAAAGGTATAATTACTTCCACAGAGATGTTCTCCAAAGGAAAAGGTCAGGAATCCCTGAGGCTCCATAACGATGCCTCGATGCCTCGGCCAGCCTAGGTCAGTGAAGTCTTTAAGAAATCGCTGCATAGGCAGAGTTCCCAGCGGGAGTGGAAACATCCAGAAGGAGCTAGGTATGCAGGGAGGCCTGTGTGGAGCTGGCGCGAGTGTGTGTGGGGGGACCCGCTGGGTTGGGAGGACGAGGCGGTGGGGATCTATCTGTATTTAGAAAGTGTTCATATGCAAAGTGGGGGCGCCGATTTCGGGGGAGCAGGAAGACGCGAAAAGTCAGATCTGAGGTGAGGGAAATGGGCAGACGGGCAGGTAGAAGGCCGACTTTTTGGAGGAGGTGTTAGGGAAACTTGGAGACGGAAGCTGCCTGTTCCGTTCTTAAGTATCGAGGCGCCAGAACTCAGCCCCCTTCCACAAATCAAGTCCCCTCGTGCCTTGTGTGCACCCGGCTAAAAATTCCCGGGGCCCTTCAGGGAGCTCTGCACATGGCCGCGCCGCCCTCAGCTCAGCGGGAGCCCGGGCTGTCTCCGCCCCCGGCAGATGCTCATTTGCATAGTTTGCATAATAGTCCCGCCCTTTCAGGCCCGGGGACCCTCCAGCACTTGGCAGCATCTTGCGCCCCCTGCTGGTCACAGTTGGCTCAACAGTTCCGTGGCAATAGCTGCAGCACAGGGCACCCCCTGTTGGCCATGGGAGCGTGGACCGCTGACGTCCCAGTGTTTCTCAAGAGCAGGGCTAACTTGGCTAACCCGCAACCTGTGGTGCCAGACTCCAGCTCCGAAGCCCGGCATTGCAGGCCTTTTATCATCTGAGCCCCAATGCCCTCCAGCGTCCTTTCTGACCCTCCTTTCAGTCACCCAGCGACAAGTCTTTTCATGCTTCGGTTCATGCATCTCCCTCAGTCAGCAGTCCTAGCTCTCCATGGGAATTCAGTCAAGGCTCCTCCAACCGCCACCTCTTTCCCGACTCGCATTCTGTCCCACTCTGGCGTGATTTGGACAAGGTCACAGAGGGACCTTGAATCTTGGTGACAGAAGGGGGAAGGGCTCAGACAGGCTCACCCCGCTCTCTTTTCCCCTCCTGCCCCCAGGCCATTTACAAGATGGTTTCGTCCGTGATGAAGATGCCAGAGGACGAGTCGACCCCAGAAAAGAGAACCGAGAAAATCTTCCGCCAAATGGATACAAATAACGATGGTGAGAGGGTGGGGCGGGCGCCACCCTCCCCTCTCCCCCTGCGCTGCCTCTCCCTTCCAGTGGTCCTTTCTTCCCCATCACTGTTTCCCTCGTCCTGCAGGCAAACTGTCCCTGGAGGAGTTCATTCGCGGGGCCAAGAGTGACCCGTCCATCGTGCGCCTGCTGCAGTGCGACCCCAGCAGCGCCTCCCAGTTCTGAGCGCTCCTCGCTGCCTTCACCAGCCCTCAGCTTCCCCTCCCCTCATGTCTACCCGGGGCCAAGTTGGGGGCCAGACTGGGGACCCTCCTAGAGTCTGTACTATGGGTGGGCTATAAGAGAAGGGAACCCTGCAGGGTCCCCTAAGGCCCAAGCAGATAGGTCAGCACCCCAATCCAAGAGGCGACATCCGCTTTCCCAATGATAGACACAGGATCTGACTGCCCCGCCCCAGTAAGTCCACCTTGATGGCATCATTTTAACACCCCTACACACAGACATACCACTCCAACCCCCCCGTAAGGCCAGACTGCCCTCCCCCAGGGAGACCTAGGTGGCCTCACCCTGGTGTGGGTGGGGGAAGCCTTGCTCAGGTGAGGAGCCAGCCTTTTTACTGCTAGGGGAGAGGAGATTGAGGATGTAGCTTCCAGGAGTCCACATTCCCTGCAGGGGCCCTCACACCCTGCCCCACCTCTTTTCTGGCCTGGAGGCCATGATGCAGAAGCAAAACCTCCCTGCATTCCAGACCCCCAGCTGTAGGGCCCATGAGCCCCCACTTGCTGTTTAGCACTTAGACCCACACTGACAGGCCACAAACCCCTAGGTGTGTTTTGCGCCCCCCTCCGAACAAAGGCCCATAGACAGATGGGAAGACTTACTTACCCAGAGCCCCATGAAGAGATCCATGTGGGGAAGATGCACAGGGCCCCCTGCTGAGCCCCCCTCCCCAACCCTGCATGCATCCATGTGGAGCATCTCTGTTGTTTTTAATAACTTCAAAATAAAGTCTTGTCTCAGTGCAGTGGCCTGGGTGGTCAGAGAGGGAGGCCTAAAAGCCCCCCAGGTGTCTATTGAGTCCTCTTGGGCTGATTCTGGGGTCCAGGCTGGGCCACAGTGCAGACTTAGGTGCAGTCCCCAGTGGCCGCAGGTCCAGTGAGGTGTTGCCCTCACAAAGTCAATGGCTCTGCGCTGGTGCAACTCAGCAGGTCATGGCCCTCGATGGGCTCTGGGCTCTCTGGTATCTGGGGAGATGCAGAAGACTGTCAGGACCCCGGGGTCTGGGTTTCTTTTTCTAAAACACCCAGGGATTGGGGGTCTCTCTGGAAGGTCTCTAGGGGCATGACGGCATCACTTCTCTCCCTCATGCAAGAACTAACCTGGATCCTTGGATTGCTCCCAGTTCAAGCCCAAGTGTTCTCTCCCACTTTTCCAAGACTCTCCACAGGACTTAGGAGAGCCCGGTGTCTGCTGTGTGACTTAACTGGGAAATCTAACCTTTCTGAGTCCCTATGTCCCTCTGCTTGGTACAAGGGTAAATAACTAGGGCTCCAGCTCTCAAGGTGGGGCCCTAAACAGAAGGATAGGGGCTCCCAGGAGCTATGGGGATCCAGGCCATGGAGAGGTGGCAGGCCTTACCGGGTGATGGCTGCTCTTCCCCCACCAGGGCCTCAGTTCCAGCAGCTGGTGGGCAAGTTGGGCGCAGCGCACAGCAAACACACTCTCTGCCACACAGAACAGCAGTGCGATTCCCCAGAGACACAGGCTGGAGCTCTGAGGGGCCGAGGATAGAGATGGCTGTCAGGAGCTGGGCAGAGTCCAGGACCCCCCAGGATATCCTCCCCAGTCTGGTGAGCACCTGGGTGCCACTCTGGACCCCAGGATCTTGCACTTACATAAATGCGTGTGGGGTCAAAGGGACAGTCGGGCGATGGTGGCGGTAGTCCAGGGTTGCCAAAGGTGCAGGTGGCCAGCAGTGCACGGCCCTGGGTGGCAAAGGTCACAGCGATGGAGGCCAAGAGGCCAAGGGCACAAGTCAGTGCGAGGAGGGCACAGGCTATGCTTGAGCTGAATACTATCCAGCGCTGGGGGGGGAAAGCTACTGGTCAGTAGATGTCAGGCTTGGTTCTAATGGTCAGTTCTGGCCACCCTAAGGGCCAGCTTCACCACTTCCAAGCACGCCAGGCCCTGGGAGGTGTGCTGCTCTTCACCCCCCACCCCCCATTCCAGGAGGCACCACATACCAGGGGGATGCTGGGGAGGTAGCGTGACAACACAATGGTGGCGATGCCTGCGGAGATGACCTGTGGGGAGGCTTGGGTCAGTCTTGGGGGGGTGGGGTCAGGCCTGTGTTCAGTTAGTTTATAGCCAGGCCCACCCAACTACCCACTCCTTTCACCCACAGTTTACCTTTGGCCTCTTTACCTCTATCTAGACTAAGGAAGGCATCGGCTCCACCCAGGCAGTGTCCACATAGCCGTGGAGCTGTGTTTCTCGAATGCAACTACTCCCTGCCTACAGCCTTCCCTGGCTCCCTACTGCCCCTAGCTGAGCATCTCAACAGGTCTGTGTTCTCCAGGGACGCAGAGCCACGCTGGGGGGACATGGGCGTGGGGGTGGGGTGCTGAACCTCAGCATCCATGTGACACGGCTCCCTCAAGTGGGAGAGATTGCAGAAGGGGGAAACTAACTGGCAAATACCTGAAAACAACATCGTTACATAAAATAAACCTAGGCATTTTGGGGAATAGAGTCCATAATCCTCAGAAGATTCTAAAGTTTCCCAGGCCCCTGATGACCTGGGCCCAGCTCCATCAGCTTCTCAACTGTACGCTGGACCAATCTCCCTCTGCCCTGGAGCCTGTTCTTGGTGCTACCCATGCAGAACCTCTCACCAACACTTTTCCTCCTTCCCTTCACCTCGCCCGCTCCTTCCAGCCCTGCTCAGGTTCCTCCTGCCAGGCCACCCTGACCACTTCCAATCCCCAAAGGTGGGTCACTGTAACCAAAAGTTACCCTGTGCATCTTTGCGACCTTATCCTACTTTCCTCCTTCTTGAATTTCCTCATTTGGCCAGACCCCTAGGAGGCAGGTGCTGTAATGGGAGTTCCCAGTTGGAGATTGGGCAGTGCCTTTTGTTCACTGTGCAATCACAGGTTAGTGCCTCACCTTCTCTGGTCTAAGCCTACTTTGTTGGACGGGCTCACAGAAAGAATACTGGCTTTGATGTCAGATAACTAGGTTCAAATTTCTATGTGGCTCCTTTGCATCAGCATGTGGTTGGCTGTGTCTCTGAGTTTCAGTCTCATTATCTGTAAAATGGGTATAAGCAAGGTCCCTTGCTAGAAGCAGTGAGGACTGAGGTCATGCATAAAGCTGAGGTGGTCCAGCCCAGAGACCACTCTTGATGGGCCACTAAGCCTTAGCTTGCTACCCTTTCTGTCTTCCTCACAATAAACAATAGCTGTAACTCTATATACACATCCACACAACTCAGCCCTGCGCTGCAGACCAAGCCTTCCCTACTCTCTCAGTCCGATCCTCGTTCACCCACGACTTAATGCTGGCAGGCTATCTGAGCATCATTCTGCAGAAGAGGAATCAGGTTTGAAGAAGTGTTAGAACTGGAACTCAGTCACATGTGTAGATACTCCTCAAAGACTCTGGGTGACTTCTACTGACCAGGAGGAAAGAACTTTATAAACGTAAGAATCAACCCTCTCCATTCATATCAGACAGGGACTGACATCCAGTCAAAACCATGGCCACTGTTTATTGAGCACTTACTAAATGCCAAGCCAAATGCTAAGCTCTTGTTAGATTGGTTTTCTTAGGTGGGTACTCCAACTCCACACCTTTGCACATGTCATTCTCTCTGCTTAGAAGGCCACCCAATTTTCTCTTTTACCCACTAGCCTCAACATGCCTTAAGTAATTACAGCTCACCTGTGTATCCTATTCTATCAATTCTCAGCTCAGGGGCCCCTATCTCTGTGGAATTCTGGACTCTCCTAAGCTGAGCTAACCCTCCAGAGATGCCTTGGATATTTTTCTAACATTGTACTGCCAAGCCAAGGTACTTGAGTTTACCAGCTGCTCTGCAGGAGAAAGATCGGCAATTACCTCCTGTGCAATTTACAACCTCTGAAAACCCGCTGGAGGGGCAGATGAGTCAGTGTTAACTCAACAGCACACAACAATAATAATCACAGCTCACAGCCGTGAGCAGCAGCAACTACCAAGCACCTTATGTGAATGATCTCATTCAGTATACTCCAGAACCTTTTCAGGTGTTATTGCCCCATTTTATAGATGAGGACACTAAGACACAGGCTTAAGTAGTTGGTAAGGTTAGTGACTTAAGCAGAGTAAGTGCCTGGATGTCTCCACTTGCCTACTCCACATTCTAGAAGTAGACTCAGCAAAGGCCTTCAAGTCCCTCTCCATCCCCTTCCGTCAGCAGCCCTCCCAGGGCCATCTGGCCATACCACAATGGCAGAGGTGACAGAGAGGATGTTGACCACGCAGTACTGCAGAGCCACAGCATTGTCAGGGGCAGCCACGTAGCGCAGCACAGTCCCGTGGAGCAGAGCGGCCGCAATGAAGCTCATGTGGCCCAGCACCACCAGCACCAGCCCTGTCTTCATCAGCACCTTCCGGAAGTCACCCACACTCAAGCCGCCTGTGAGGACAGATGTGTCAGGGCCATGGGTGAGGCTCATCCACTGGAACAGGAGGAAACCAGGGCCCTGACAGGAGTGATGGACATGTCCTTTAACCTTAGTTTAGGATGACATGAGGCCAGTAACTGGTCTTCTAATGAGAGTGTTTCCAGAAAAGGAGCTCTCAGTTCGAATCTACCAGATGCTCTGCTGGAGAAGGAGGGGCAATCTCCTGTACCAGTCAGATCTGATTTGACAGTACACACACAAAAATAATAAATTAAAAAAAATATGGCATTCTCAGTGCTCCATCTGGGGGTGAGCAAGACTAGAAGAACACGCATGTGGTACTTCATAAAGGTAAATAGTCCTTGTGGGAAGGGGCCCATAGTGCAATGGTTAAGGCGTGGCTACGAGCCTAAAGCAAGCTCTGGTGGCTTGGTGGTAAGGAACTGCACTGCTCTTGCTCTGCTAACCCAAAGGCATGAGTTCGAATCCACAAGTTGCTCCCTTGAGGGAAAGATGGGCAGTCTCTTCCCATGCATTTGCTGCTTCTGAAAACTGGCTGGCGGCTCAGCTGTGAGTCACTTCCAACTCAGGGTACCTAACAACTATCCCAAAGTAGTACCTTGTGTATGGCTATGATGCTAAACAAGATTCAACAGAGCCCTCAGACTAAGACAGGAAGAAAGGCCTGGCAATCTAGTCCCCCAAATCATCCAGTGTACGCCCGTGGCTCTCAATAGTTTGACCTCCTTGTGTATGGGGTAATTGTGAGCCGACCCATTAAACTTGATGGCATCGGATTTGAACCCAGGCTATCTCGCTCTACCACCCATTCTTCTTCCACTAAGTCAGCCCCTCATTCATCCAGGTACTTGTTACATAAATGTTCACCAAGTGCCTTCTCTGTGCCAGGCTTTGAGGGCAGCAGCGTGGTGAGTTTTACAGTCCAGGCCCCTAGGAGCCTGCAGTCTATGGGGCAGGGGGTCGAGTCTAATAGAACATGGCACCCAATAGCTATTATCACATAAATGCTGAACTGAACTGCCTAGAGTTTGGGAACTCAAGGCAAGTTCCTCTGCCTTTCTGAGCTTCTGTTTCCTCATCAGTAAAACAAGCAGGAAGAATAACTCCTTGTTTATTTGTGCCAACACAAAGGCACACAGTTCAAATCCACTAGCTGCTCCACAGGAGAAAAATGGGCACTCTTCTTCTATGCAGTTTTTTTTTTTAAATTATTTTTTGTGCATGTACCGTCAAATCAGATCTGACTGGTACAGGAGGAAATTGTCCCTCCTTCTCCGGCAGAGCATCTGGTGGATTCGAACTGTGTACCTTTGGTATTGCAGTACAGCTTCTTGCCACTAGGTCACCAGAGCTCCCCTTCTATGCAGTTTTGTAGTTGTTGTTGTGTATTGTGGAGTCAGAACCACAGCTGACCCTCCAGTGTTGGGTTGTTGTTTTTTTTCTGAGCACAGTGTACTTTTTTGCTGGTACATGACAAGATGGGCTTTCTAAGCCCCTCCCCTTCCTCAGGGGGACTGGATGGAAACTGTGTCAAAGATGGGAGATTCTCAGTGTGTGTGTGTATTGAATGGGGGCAAGGACTCCCCAGCAGAGGCAGTAAATCACATGGGAGCCCATGTGGTTTAATGCCTCTGCAAACCTGCTGGAAGGTCAGATTTGAGTGGTTAGGATGGTACATAACAACGGCAACTCTTGTTTCTTAGTGGGAAGGGAGGATCCCCAGAAGAAAAGGATGGGAAAGTGGAGCAAGTTAGGAAAGATAAGCTTTCAGTGCAAGGGGCACAGGGCAGGCACTGTGGAGTGTGGGATGGGTACAGACTAGGGTCAAGGGAATACCAGACTCATGCAGCAAAATTCTGTCTGAGCGCTAAGTTTACACTGTGCCAGGAACAGGAAGCAGGCAGCTCCATATCTACTCCCTGGAATTTTCCCCATGGGTCTCAGCTCTGCCCTCTGAGATGTACAACAGGGTACCCTGACCCCACACTCCCTAATCCTGGCCAACTCTGTGAGACCGGAAGGCTGTGGTCAGGTGCCCGGAAAACACCCACACTTCCTTTATGGAACCTGACCCGAGTTCCTTCCTAGACCTCAGTCTCCCATTTATAGAAGGAAGGTTGGATCAGAATTCATATGAGAGTTCTATGCTTTAAAAAAAAAAAAAAAAAGTAAAGAAACTCATGTGGCAATCCCCAAGCGGCAGGGAGGGATGGGGCCACGCAGCCACTGGCCTGCTTTGTGATCCTGCGTGAGTTTCTAAGCTCTGTGAGCCCCAGATTGCCCATCTGTAAAACAAGGTTAGAGTGGTCTAGTGGGTCTCTGAGACCTCTGCCTGCAGGGCCATCTGGATTGAACTAAGTATAGAAGAAGGAGGCAGATGATGGCCTGAAGAGGCATTGTTGATTTGGAATGGTGTCATAAAGATTAACTGGTAGTCAAACAGGAAGGGGCACGGTGGCTTCGTCCCTGTAGCCTGGGCCACCCTGTGCCATCCACCCACCTACCTGGCAGGCCAGGCACCACCCAGCTGAGGGTTTCAGCAACAATAATAGCATTCCAGGACTAAGATTTTGGTCATACAGGGGTGCAGTGTCAATTTGGAAAACTGTACAGAAGGTTTCAGTGCTGGAGCACTTATGAATGTGGCTGCTACAGTACTGAGCACTTTACTGGTAGGAGCTGAATTCATCCTCATGAGTCAGGTGGAGACTACTGTCCCCATTTTATAGATGAGGAAACTGAGGTCCACAGGGCTCTGTACTATACTCTTCAGGAATGATACCTAAAAGCAGCTTAATTTAAGCATGCCAAATAGGGGAGTGGGTACATCAGTGTCACATTGCCTGTGGTCTTTTTTGCTGTTGGTCTGTCCTTCAAGGCCTTGGGGTGGAGAGGGAAAGAAGGGGAGTGGAGGGTCTGGAAGGGACCGTTGCAAAGTAGGGGACGCTCAGTCCACTTTAGTACTCCCAGGTCCTGGATTTCCCTCTATTCCCTTGGCGGTGGCTAGGAGCCTCCCTTCAGCATATCTTCTCCCTGTGGCCTGTCGTGCTCCTTCACAAAAGAGACAAGCCAAGGTAGAGGTGAAGGTGCCGGAACCTTATTATGAAGACTTCAGTGGGCAGCCCTCCCTCCACCTAACAGCTGTGGAAACTGAGGCCCAGGGAAGAAAGTGGCTTGCCTTGGGTCAGGAGGCTGAAAAGGGAGCCGGGCTCCTACTACAGACAGTCCTCGCCCCTGCAAGAGTTTGGGCCTCCCGGGTCCCCGCCGCTCACCAAGGCGCAGACACATCTCGGCTCCTGCGCAGGGTTTCCCCCGGCCAGCGTCAACGTGGCTCCCGAGGCTGCCGGTTGCTGGTGTCCCCCGCTTCCATCCTCAGTGTGTAGCTGGCTCGGCCGCCACCTGCGCGCCCCGCAGAGCCCGCCGCACCCACTTCCCGCCTCGAGCGCGGCTCGTCTGCGCCGGGCCGGCCTCCCTTCCCGTCACCCACCGGGAGAGCAGCGCGGAGGCTCGCGGCGTCCCGGGCCGGTCGGACCGGCTAAGCAGCCCTTCCCCGGCACGCCCGCTGAGTCAGGGCGCTGGCCCCACCCTCCATGCTCGCTCCCGGCGGGCTGGCACCAAGCCCCGCTCGCACAGCCCACCATCCCTCCCCGCCCCCGCCAGATGGAAACTGAGGCCGGGTGAGCCAACCTTTAACTGAGCTGGGAAGCGCTAAGACAGATGTGCTAGCTATGATTTGTAAAGATCTGAGGAGCATCGTCATTGCTGCTTCCTGTCAGGGACCTCATCAGAGTACTGAAGAGCAATGATATCAGTCTAGAGACTAAGGTATGCACGATCAAGGCCATGGTCTTCCCGATTACTTGTTATGCATCAGAGAAGCTGGACAATGACTAACGATGATAGAAGAAGACTCGGTGGCTTAGAGTTGTGGTGCTGGAGAAGAGTACTGAATATACCATGGACTGCTAGGAGAACAGTTTCTTCCTAGAGAGGGTGAAATCACGCTGCTTCTTGGAGGCAAGGATTTTAAAGCTTTGTATGACATTCTTTGGGCGTATTGCAAGGAGGGACTAGTCCTTAGAGAAGGACATTATGCTCGGAAGGTTGCAGGGACAGCACAAGAGAGGAAGACCCTGGATGAGATGGATTGACTAGTGTCTAGGGTAATGGGATGAGTGTATCAGGGACGATGAGGTTGGCTCAAGGTAGAGCAGAGTTCAAAGCTGTTGTACATAGGGTTGCTATGAGTCATAGGCATAGAACAACAACAAAAACTACACTGGTTTGCCCATCTGTCAAATGGGAATAAAGACTGCCCTAGCTTGAGAAGCCATCTTTCTGGAGGATGGAGAGGGGTAGCTGTGGATGGAAGAGCATTGTGTAAGGGGAACAGGACCTGTAGTTGGCCACTATGTGGCCTCAGGCAAATCTGTTTCCTCCCTGAGCTTCACGTAGACTAGGAGAGAAGATGCTCTGGAGGACTCTCAGGGTTCCCAAGCTGAGCAAGCTGCGGCTCCTCTTCCAGATAGGGGATCTGTGTTTCCTTGCAATCAAAGTTCAGCACTCTCAACCCATCAGCTGCTCCTGGGAAGAAAGATGTTATACTCTGCTTCTGTTGGGATTTTTCAGCTTTGGAAACCCCTTACAGGATGGTTCTACTCTGTTATATTACTTTAAGTCAGGAATTAATGCGATGGGAATTGGTTTTGTCAAGTGCTAACATGTTAATTCCAACTCATAGCAACCCCATGTGCAAAGAGAACAGACACTGTCTAGCCAGCACCACCTCACACACGTTGCTGTGTTGTTGTTGCTGCTGTTGTTATGTGTTGTCAAGTCACTAAAATACATTGAGCCAGTTTGCCATTCTAACTCATTGAGGATCTTTTTATTTTTTGCTGACCCTCCCATTTACTAAGCATAACATCTTTCTCTTGGGACTGGTCCATCCTCGTGGCATGTCCAAAGTGTGGGCGGTAAGACCCAGCTGTCCACAGTTCTAAGGAGCATCCTTGCTGCACTTCTTCAAGGCAGATGTCTTCGGGTTTTTTTTTTTGGCAGTTCATAGTATATTCTCTCACAACACTGTATTTTAAGATAGAACTTGAAATTGACTTCTTTCACTATGACTTCTACACCATTCTTGTGTTTTTCATTCCCAGCACAGTCTGCCATATGATTATCTAATTAAAAGTTGCCAAAGTTGGCCCATCTCATCTCATATATGCCTAGGATGTTGATGTTTATGAGTTCCATTTAATTTTTAACAATTTCCAGTTTTCAACATTCAAGCTATGTACATTCCATGTCCCAATTATTAAATGATGTTTGTCATTGCTTTTCTTTATTTCAGCTGACTTCCATTCTGGGCTCTACCATTATGCTACTATAACTAACCTCATTCCTCTGTCTTTTATAGGGTTTTTGAAGGCCTATTATTTAAGAAGTTGGTTGACCAATCCTTCTTCCTAGTCTGTCTTAATCTGGGAGCTCTACTAAAACCTATCCGCCATGGGTAACCCTTATGGCATTTGACACAATGGCACAGCTTTCAATATTGCACTGGGAAAATCTGCAGTTAGGAACCTTTCAAATTATTGAGGAGTAGTGATGTCAGTTTGAGGACTAAGGTGTGTCTGATTCAGACCATAGTCTTTCTGGTCACTTTCTATGCATCTGAGGGCTGGACAATGAATAAGGATGATAGAAGAATTGATGCCTTTGAGCTGTGGTGTTGGAGAAGAGCACTGAACATCCCATTGATGGCCAAGAGAACAAACAGATATGTCTCAGAGAGGGTGCAGATGGAGTGCTCTTTGGAGTCAAGAATGATGAGGCTTTGCCTCACCTGTTTTGGGCATGTTGTTAGGAGGGTCTATTCATTGGAGAGAAACATGATGCTGAGAGGGCTGGAGGGTCGGCAGAGGAGAGGAAAACCCTCGACCAGGTGGATTGAGGTGGTGACACAGGAAGTGTGAAGGACATAATAAGGCAGGGTTCAGATCTGTTGTTCATAGGGTCACTATGAATCGTACTTGACTCGACAGCACCTAACAACAACAACAACATTATATATATATATATATTTTTTTTTTTAAACCAACACTTCAAGGAGGTCTTTTGCAGCGGTATATACCCAGTGCAATATATCATCCAATTTCTTGAATGCTAATCCCTTGAGTATTAAGGGTGGATCCAAATAAAAGGAAATCTTTGGCAACTTCAGTCCTTTCTCCATTTATCATGATGTTTATTGACCCAGTCTTGAGCATGTTTTCTTAATATTGAACAGTGATCCATAATTCCCACTGAAAGCTATATATAGTCTCTGATAGTCATTAGTAAGCATTTCAAGTCTCTCTTCTCTTTCAGCAAGCAAGGTTGTGCCACCTGAATACTGGAGGTTGCTAATTAATTTGCCTTCAATCCTGATGCCACATGCATTCTTCTTCATAAAGTTCAGCATACAGATTGAACAGGTATGGAGAATGGATACAACCCTGTGTGCTCTGGGAAAGAACTGTCCGCTGCTTCTTTCCAGGCCACTTGCCAACCTAAACTGCCTGAAGTTACTGCCTTTTCTCTTCCTTATTGCCAAGGACCAAAGTCCAGTTTCCCCTGTGGCTGCCCCACCTCTAGCCCAGGTTCTGGGAAGAGCCCAAGGCCAGAACTCAAGTCCTAGGTCTGCTCCTTTCTCTAGTTCACTCGCTGAGACACCTGGCAGCTCCTTGCTGTTCTCTAGGCCTCAGTTTCTCCATCTGTAAAATGAGGCTAAGGATGACCTTTCCTACTTTCCCTGATTGCTGACTTTCCAATCATTTGAGAGATATGTAAGCCAGAGAAATAGAAGTAGTAATTCTTCCTGGAACATTTACCACCAGTTGTGGTCCAGGACCCTAAAATTGGAGTTTGTCTCCCCAGAACACAGGCCTCCCTGGGCTGCTCTGCTGGAGAGGGCTTTAGGCTGCAATAACCCCTTTTCTTTTTACAGAAACTTCTCTTTGTCCTGGTTAAAAATACCCATGTAAATTTTTTAAAAAACTAAAAGCAAGCAAGCAGCATGTTCTATTTTATGCTTGGGAGGGTGGAGGGACAGCGCAGGAGAGGAAGGCCCTCTATGAGGTGGATTGATTCAGTGACTGGGATAATTGGGATGGGAGTGTCAGAGACAGTGCGATTGGCACAGGACAGAGCGGAGTTTAGGGCTGTTGTACATAGGGTCGCTATGAGTCGCAGGCGACTCGACGGCACATAACAACGACAACAACAACATGTAGACAGGTTTTGAGCCCTGGCAGTGGCTAAGTGCTCAGGTCCTAACCAAAAGGTCAGCAGTTTGTCCCACGGCCGCTCTGCCAGAGAAGGACATGGCAGCCTGCTCCTTAGATTTCCAGCTTTAGAAACCCCGTCCTATCAGGTCACCGTGAGTCAGAGTTAACTTGAAGACAGTGCGCTGTTTGGTTTTGGGTGCAGCTGATTTGGCTCCAACTTGTATCGACCCTATGTCCATTGGAGCGACACCCGTCCTGTTCTATGCCACTTCTATTGTTGCCAGTTGCCATCAAGTGTTACTCAAAGCAACTCTTTGAATAACTGAATCCTGCACTATCCTTGGCCATCCTCATCACCTCTGAGCCCAATACGTAACCCCACTGCTGCAGTCACTGTGTCAAGCCATATCATCAAGGGTCTTCCTCTCTTTCACCACCCTCCACCTTTCCAAGCATGATGTCCCTCTTCAAGAAATGCCCTCCCCCAGCCCTAAGTATGTGAGAGGAAGCTTTGCTGTTCTTGCCAAGCACCTTCTTCTTTTGGCAGTCTAGGGGATATCCAGCAATTTTCTTCAGCACAACTCAAAGGTATCAATTCTTCTGTTGGCCTATTCATTGCCTAGCTCTCAGCAGCACAGCAACTAATTGAACAGACTGTGATTACGGTCTCCATTCTATTCAAGCCCATTGTAGTCACTGGGTCAGTCCTTCTCATTGAGGGTCTTCCTCTCTTTCATTGACCTTCCACTTTTCCAAGTACGATGGCGATTTCCAGGGACTGGCCCCACCGAACAAGGTGCCCAAATTACGTGACATGAAGTCTCATCATCCTTCCTTCTAAAGAACTCTAGTTGTACTTTTTCAACACAGATTTGTTTGTTCTTTTGACAGTCCGTGGTATATTAAGTATTTTTCACTAACACCACAATTCACATTCTTGGTAACAGCAGCCAGGAAATCAGGAGACTAATTGCATTGGGAAAGCCAGCTGTGAGGGACCTCTCAGGAATACTGAAG